ATATATATATATATATATATATATATATATATAAAGAGAGAGAATTCAACAATATATTTTATCATGAGAGATGAGATGACTAAACTCAATTATAAAGATTTCTCCTATAAAATTATTATTATTGTCACATCTACCACTATTAGTCTATTATTTCTTAATGTTATTGTCGTTGTTATTATCTCTACCAATATTATCGTCATTACTTTCTCATGGTTGAGGCGATTATTGTAAAGGTGATGATGATCTTTATTATCACCAAAATTATCATTATCACCATTTTGTTACTCAACATCATCATTGTCACTATTGTTACCATTAGCATAGTTGATGTCATATGATAGTGATGATAGTGGTGGAAGGAACAATAGTGATAATCTCATAGAAAAATATTTATAATTAAATTTTAATTTCAATTATTAATTCTAAAAATTATTATTTAATGTTTTCATCTCTTATAATAAGATTTTCTTTCATTGAATATGCTTTATATATATATATATATATTAAAGAGAAATTTGTTTATTCTGTTTAATTATTAAATTTAAAATTCTTAAAATATTTTATGATGGATAATCATAAAAAAAAATAATTTCGGACTAATATATTTAAAGATTTACTATTCATAATAACTTCTCATGATCAAATATTCATATCTCTTAGTTTCATATTGAAAATACTACATTTTTTGTATTCTTATATTATATTAACATGTACTCAAATATTTAAAGAAAAAAAAAATATATTACTAATTAAAAAACATACTTTTAAATTCAAATTAATACATAACAATGTAAAAAAAAAATCATAAAACCACCCATATTAGAACTTAAACAAAGCTCCGGATAAACAAAAGATTGAATAGAATTCGAATTCGAAGTTTGATAGGATGTAATAACATAATTCTCACATAACAATTACACACGTGTTGTGGAAAACTTATTTATTACTATTTGAGAGTATACTTATCTGTATTGAAATTTATTTAGTAAATGAAATGCTTTCTTAAAAGTATAAATTAATTTTGTTTTGAAAATATAATATATTGAAATCAATTCAACTTAATTTTGTAATGATTCGAAATAAAATACAGATCTTATAAATAAAAAGTTGTTATTCAGTTGCGTTAACTAAACTCGTATAGTAAGTTGCTATTTATAAGCTCAAAGTTATTCGATATGGCCGTTTGTTATTATTATAATAATATAAAATAATAAAAAAGTGCTCTAATTAGAAAGTATTGCAACGATATATAATCTTTTAATCTGAGATTTAGCACAACAACCACCTCTTATTTATTTATTTATTTTTTAAAAGGTTTACTGGACCACTGGTTACCTATCTGTTCATGACGTGAGGACGATAGCCTTCTCAACGCGTAAACGAGAAAAGTATTCGATAATCAAATAAAAAGAAAATAAAAGAAAAGTTCATAGAAAATGACGTGCCCTGACCAAAAAGGACAGGGAAAATTTTTCTTTTCAATTAGATGCCATCACTTGAATAAAAAGAATGATTCACAAATCACATATACTAATTTAATCTTCCAACCAACATCTTTTCTCCTAAAGTTATACTCAAAGTAGTAAAATTATGTTAGTAGTATTTAAAGAATTTTTAATATTTTAGAGATTATATAAGATGATTTCTAATACTTTATAGATCACTTGTATAATTTTATTTTTTTTAGAAATAATTAGGAGAGTGTATTACTTTAAAGACTAAATTGATGATTTAATCATATAATGCGACGGGTAAAAATTTTCTGCTCTTAGGGCAACATATCATTTAGAGTTTTTGAAAACCAAAAACAATATTCTACAGGTAACCGATTCTTCAACATTACTAATCTAATTTGGGTGTTGAATTTGTTCTTTTTTTCAATACTCTTACATAGTCTAAAAGGTAGGGTACATTGAATTGAATTTTCTGTTAAAAAAGGTGTGAATATTATCAGACAACAGCTTCTGACTTCCCGTAAGAACCCCACCCATTAATCGTAATCCTGTATTGCATAACGAACCACGTTAATATGATACACATAAAGTGACGCAGATGAATAGAAACAGTTAATTTGTTCTTCATATTCATCATTGTACTGCTAGTGAAAGTTAACTCAATTATTGAGAGTCCTGTTATATCGTAGCTACTGATGTATTATCTCATTGGGAGGCAAAACTATACCTTGTACTCTTGTATAACGTTGTATCCGAAGTTAGATAGTTTAGAAACACAGGGCAATAAATCAGAACCCAAGTGAAGATTGAAATTGATTAGCCAATTATTCCAAATGTATGATTGGATAATATTTTTTTTTTAATAAATTATGAGAACTAGCTGTTCACTACTATGGACCGGAACAAAAAGAACCAGGGCAGTCAGCAAGCTAAAATTGCTAGAGACAAATGAAAGACACAATTCTATTGCAAATAACACTGTATGGTAAAGTTAGAAAAACAATAACATGCGCACCATACTGAAATCCCGAACAATTTTTTTTAAGTGCCTATCTCAAGTTAACTTAAGATCATTCCCTCCCAGATGAGGGCGGAGGCAAACACGGACTTCATGTTCTTCTGGTCCCACCCGATGTTTTGGCACCAGGATCTCAAGCACTGATCCTGTCTCATCATAGTATGCTTCTATGTTGGCATCTTCAGGAATTCGAGTTGAGAGAGGGATTTCTCGGACAAACTCTCCAGGAGGGCAGTGCTCTGACGATGGATCTGTAAGCTTGAATGTCCTATCATGTCTCTTGATGAAAGGTTTCCGAGATGTGCTCATACAAGAAACCTTTATGATACCACGAGTCAGAGTGTTCCTCCATGAAACTTTCACACTTGGAAGATCTACCAAGGGAAGACTGATAATAATCAAGTAACCTTGTTCATCCTCGTAAATAGTTTTTGCAGCTGTAACAGGTCCATAAACACTCTTTATCACCCCGCTGAAGTCATTCAACCAGTGTGGCTCACTTGGGTGCATTTCTATATCTGTAGTACGATCATATGGAGGATTAACAGCCAAGTAACATTCTTCTTCATTTCCATGAGGGAAAAAGTCCTTCCTCTTTTTGCCGCTGACAGGAGAGAGGTCCAACCCATCACCATTACTGTGGTTAGATAGATGAGTTGATAAATTCAGTCCAGATCCGTTAAGCAGCTTCTTTGGATGCGAATTAGGACCACTCTTAATTGGGGGAGGTGGTCTCTCGAGCTCAAAATCCGTGTTGGGAAGATTTCTCCATGAACTGAAATCACTTGCTTCAGGAGGGATTGTGAAATTCAAATCTCGGCCAGTGAGTTCCATCCACCTTTTCCGATCATCCTCATCCAGGGTCATCAGATTGGGTGCAGGAACAACCTCAATGCCATGCACACACTGAGGGTTTGATAGTCCTCTATAATGCTTTCGCTGCATCCGGTGGGATCGGGCAAAACCCTTGTCAACACTAAATGGAAACGGGCGCTCCCCTTGGCGAGAATGCCCATTCATGTAACTCCTCAGCTGCATCTTACCCAACGCATTCTCCGACCTCTCCTTGAAAACCCACATATACATGTTTTCCATGTCATGTTGAACCATGAAAACATCAAGCTTGATATCAGACTTGTCAAACCCCGAAACACCGTTGCTGTCCCTGCCAGCCTTGGCCTTAGACTTCTCAAGCAATGCAGGCTTAAAGTAAAAGCTGAAGAAAAACCAGGCACCCCATATGCTATCAAGGCGCTTGGCGCATTTCCTTCCAACTTTGGGGAGTTGGAGAAAACTCTCATGCTCATATCCCTGAGTACCAAGACCAACATCCAACACAGCATCAGAAGGGTCAGGATTCCATGGCTGAGGAGGGGGACTGCGCTCAGCGGAAAGGGGCAAATTGATGTCAGGTGGTGGACAGAGTGTGACTTTCCCATTCATATCCAGATCCAGTTCCTGATGTGAAGAAGGTGCACTTGAATCCATGGACAGGAGTGTGGATGGGTGATGATGATTGTCCATTGAAAGACAACATGTGAGAAGTGAACCACCCATTGGATTCGACTACCTCATCTGCTTGATGAGTTTTGCTTCTGGTCGGTTCAATTTTGCCATTCCAAAAACAATTCAACAAACAACCTTATAAACACCGTCGTCATTCATATGAATCTCCACAACAATATCAACCCCTCCATTTTTTTTAATTAAAAAAACCTAATTTACGAATAAGATAGCAGAATCCTCACAAACCCACCAAAGAAATATCTTTTATAAGTCTGTAACAATAAAAATCCTATCTTATAATATGGATTTAATTCCAAAACTGAAAACCATACATCTCTGTACAGAAATATGAGTATTCATAATTTAGTGAAATATAGTATGGTTAAAAACAGTGACAGGCGAAAAGAAAATCGAAGGAGATCTTCAAAGAGTACCTCAGGGAAAAAGCATGGAAAAATGGAGGAGAGGAAGAAGCAGCAATGGGTAAGAGGATGGTGTTCTCCGTCGTGTCATCCATACCACTGAATTCTACCCTAGACTTTTCTTATTTCTTATTTCTTATTTTGTTTTATTTTAAGAAAGGAAAAATCTATGTATTGGAGAAGCCGTGAGAATGAAAAGGAAACGGAGAAATGTAGTGTGGAAGAAGCAGATGCGTGATGAAGCGTCTCACTATGGCCAGAAACAGGTTCCGTAGGTTAAAGCCTGCATTGAAAGCCAACCCGGCCTGTTGGACCCGCTAATCCAATGTTATTGCTATTTACACTTCTATTTTCCCTAAATGCACTTCCCTTTCCTCTTCTTTATTTCATTTTTCTTAAATAACCATCTGTTTTTATTATATTAAAACATCACATTTCTATGCCTTGCACTCTCCACTAATTAATTCAACTATTAACTTTTCTTTAACTCACTCAAAGACAGGTTAGATTAAAATTTTTTTTTTATTGAAATTAAATTTTTTAACTTGACTCACTTAACTAGTGACAAATTGTAAGATGGATTGATTTGTCAATCTAGTTAAAAAAAATTAAGTTACTTTTTTTTCTTCCAAAAATTTTATGATCAAATATAATTAAAAAATGTTATAAAATTAGTAATAGAGCAAATGATTCAAATATTAGTTGGAGCATATACTTAATAAGTTTATCAACTACAATAAAATAAGTCAATTAACAGTGTTAAAATAAGTCTAAAATGTAACCATAAAAGTCTATCATCAATAAAAAAATAAGTACACAACACAATCATTATTTCAAATAAGTTTTAATGAGTAAATAAACCATATAAAATATCATAAGTCAGTGTCAATAACTAAAAGTTAAAGAAAAATATAGGTCAATTTCTACTTTGACTTTCTAGGTTGATGGGTTGTGTTACACCTGAGACGAATCCAAGCCCCTGACTCTCCCTCCCTCCCTTAATTGTTTTGAAAAAATGTATTATGATAAAATATGTTTTTGTTCTAAATATTAATAGTTAAGAAAATATTTAATTTCCTATTTAATTGGCTCTTCATTTTCGATTATTATAGTTGAGAAATTAATATTAGCCATGTAAATGGAAAAAATAAACTTAAAAACAAGATAAAATTTATTAAATGTTTAATTTTATATTGAGAGATTGATTAAAAGTTGATACATATTATATATTGTTGGTGAATTTTATGATTTTAAAAAATGATATTCATAATTTACATAAATGATATGATACATTTAATTATTATAATTTAATATTTATTTTAAATTTATCATTAAAAAAATTGGTTCCCCTTTTACTAAGTTCTAGATTCGTCGTTAGTTACACCATTTACTCTTTCATGGTATTAATTAATATCAACAAAAGTATTTGCAGAATTTTTTAAATCTTTTCTAAACGATAAGGTAAAAGTTACCACATTATAACTAACTAACTTTAAATGTTTCCATAAAGGGAGAACTAAAAATAAACAAATTTTTGTTTGACACTTTAAAGGTCATACACAAGTTTTCATAAATCAAAGTAACAAAAGATAAAGAGACAAAAGAGATTCAAAATACAAATTAAAACCCAAGCTCCAATGTCACATTATATTAGAGTAAGACAAACCCAAAAGCATAAGTATGGATGCTCAAACCTAATCCCTAACATTAGTCTCCAATTGAACCTCACTTGTAAATGACATTTAACCCAAACACAAACAAGATAAACAAAAGCAAGGAGTAGGATACATCTCACTCATACATAACACAACAAAACATATAAAGATACACTACAACACATTATAAATCAATCACATAAAAAAATAACAAGTATGTTATGCAATGGTCTTGTATTCTAATGCAATGAAAAAGTGTAACCTAAGAATATGTGCAAGTAGATGCAATCAACCGATTCAAGTGCCCGACACCAAACACTCTCAACTAGGGGGAAGATCCACCAATGACTCATCAGGATTACAAAGTCATGTCAAGTCCACTTATACTCATCAAGAGTTATATTTGGGTTCCCAAACCTAGTTGACACTTAAGGTCCAAATCCAAAGATCCAAAAAGTGATCTCTTTAACATAGGACCACAACAATAAGTACTCAAGATCCATATTATCACTAAATTTTTAAGTTTTATTAATAAAGAGACTACATATCAAGTGCTATCACAAGCTCTTTGTTAACCATCTAAAGTAGTTTGCATATCAAATGTCTTTAAAAGTTCGGTCACATCTTAGAGAGATTGATGGAAGAGCATGGACCAAGGGTCCAACCACTAGAGCTATGGCCAAGAGACTACTTGAAGACTTGTCAGCTTCAGAGCTTAGTGGGCCCAATGGGCTTGATGGGCCTAGGGTGCTTCTCACTTGGACTTTACTTGATTAAACACCATGTTTTATTTTACATTCATAGAATAGGAAGTTACTTTGTTTTTGGTCTTGTATTTTGACCATAGATTAGGGTTTGTGAATTTTGGGCTTGTAATTGGGCTTCATGGGCTTTGGGCTTTTGATACCAAATATTGGGCTCATTTTCTTTCTTGTAATTTTTCCTATTCATTGTATTTCTTGAACCATTGTATTTAGGTCATTAGTTTAGGAATTAGGAGGAAAAACATGTTTAATAGAATTAGGTTAAACTAGGTTTAATTTAGCTTGCATTTAAGTTGCATTTGGAGTCACATGGATGGCGCCACCTTGGCTGAACATGTGTGACCCAAATGCAACCCTAAATTCAAGTTAAATCAAACCTAAACTCACTTAGCTACTATGTGAACCGGTGACACACATGTGAGTTGAGATTTGAATTCAAATTTCAAAATTTGAATTCAAATTTCATTTTTGTATATAAGATAATTTTCAGTTTTTTGTTTGTTCCTTTTTTTATAAAACATTCTTCTAATTATCAATTGTATTAATTATAATTATTTTTTTATAAAATATCCTTATTTAATTAATAGTTCTTTTAGACAAAAGATAATAAATATTTAAAATTAATTGGACAAAAATTTTCTCTTTTTAAGATTGAAGAAGATAAATATAAATATCTCTTTTCTAATAATTAAATAATTAGGTGAGAAATGATAAGTGAAAAGAGAAAAAAATAATTTAATATATGTTAAGAATAATTAAAAAAATTGTAACGTAGAAAAAAAAATAAAATTCAGTAGCCAGAACAGGCCGTTCCCAATTTGGAACGGGCCGTTCCAAACTACTGATTTGGCCTTAAAAAAATGAAGGAGAACGTCGTTCTGGGAAGGAGAACCGGCCGTTCCGGAGGTAGAACGCGCCGTTCCAGAGGGAGAACGGGTCACCACCTGATGGCCGATATCCAATCGGCACCCAAATAGCCGAACCAGGTGGTTGATTTCCGGTCGGGCACCAGGTGATCCATAAGTTCAGATTCCTACTAATAAAGAGCCAAGAATTACCCCTAATTAAAGATTAAGAGTTAATCACACCAATAAGCCGATTAGAGGCGTATTACCTAATCTAGTAATCCTATTGCAGGGCCCATGGGAATCCAAGCCCATAAATGTCAGTATAAATAGCTCATGTCACGAGGTAACGTCACTGTTCATTAATTACCATCGATATATGTGTTTTGTCCTGACTTGAGCGTCGGAGTGCCTTTTGCAGGTATCTCTTCCCTTTTACCGGAATATTCGATCGAAACACTCGTTCGGCCCTCAGAATACGAGAAGATTACTGGTGTATCCTTTTGACAGGTACAATTACTATTTCAGGTTTTTATTTGATTACTTTTTATAAAATAGCACATATTTTATATATTAACTCGTTTTACTATATTTTAATTTTAAAAATTAAAATATTAGGTATACATATATTTTAATTTAAAAATTTTCCTCTTGTGAAATTTTAATTTTAATTTTTTTATATTACTTATATTTAAAAGTTCCTAGAATACAAAGTATGGTTTAATTAAGCAAGGATGGGAGAGAGAGAGAGAGAAGAAGTGGCGTCTCATTAGGAGCTACACTTTCCACTATCTGGCATTGTTGATGAGATGAAAATTGCAAGACGGGGGAAGAATACAAAGCATGATGATATAAAGTCATTTCTTTATTGTAATTATTGAGAAAAAGGGGATGCAACTGGATCTTAGAAAACTTATTCTACTCATCCACTTAAGTAGAATATGAAAATGGCCATTATTAGGGCACAAAAGCTTCTATATTAAAATCAACTTTTAATGTGAATAAATGTTATCAATTGCTGCAGTGGATAGACATTTACCTTTCACACGTTGTGAAAAAAAAAATAATTAAAAAAGAATTTACATTTAACTTTTCATGTGTAAAAACATGGATTGTGTTAAAATCATGCTATTTTGTGTTACGAAACATAATTTTTTATTAATCAAACATTATTTTAATAAAAATAAATGAGAATATCATATAACCCTAATCTCATAACAACTTTATAATCATTGGATTAAAATATTTGGTTACTTTGATACTTGTTTAAGTCATAAACTTTATGTGTAATAAACATAAATAAATAAATATTTAAGTTATATAGTGGACATGTGGTGCACCATAACAGATATCAACGTATCAGTTATCACCTATTAAACTTGTATAGGTGCTTATGCGAGGGATATTCGATAATAGTTTTTGATAGATCAACGATGAAAATGGATATAATATTATGAGGTGTGTCTTGTTATATCATCCGTACGAGGTACTGCCCAAACAAGATCAGCACTGGCCATTGGCTAATACGGCCTTTGAGCTTTTATAAGGACAAGTTATTATTAGTTCTTGGAGTGTTGAGGGTTTAAGTCAAAAACTTGGATTTTTGCTTGATTTGTTGTTGCATGCACATAAAGTTGGTATCTTTGAACTCCTTGATGAAAATGTGGCACTTTGAACCGTTTGCATGTGAGTTTTCTGTGAAATTTTGTAGGTTTTGGAAATTTTTCGAACTTGGGAGAGTTACTGATGAGTTCGCGATTCGGTAGGGTTTATGCCACCTAGACTGCTCAACCTCAGTAGTTGGAGATCTCCCAGTTGTATATCCGTGACGACGCATTGAATATTAAGTTGTATATGGTTGTTGTTGTTGTATTAAAGTTGCTTCTAAGTGGTATGAATGAGTTGTGTTTTTTATGTTGAATTGTATGATCGTTTGTGAGATGATGATTGTTATGCATTTATTGCATGAT